ATTTAAAAAGGAGCAGAATATTTTAATTGTAGTGAGCAAGGTGGGGACAGTATCAGAAGATGAGGCTGACTGAGAAGGCCTAGGTTAGAATAAGCTGAGAGGTTTCATGGATAAATCTAGATATTGGAACACTCTTCATTGTGAATAATAGAATAGTAGGGAGAAAAAGAAGATGTATAAGGTTCTTGGTGTAATTAAGAAAGAAAGGGTGTTGGCCTGAATAGAAGTAATGAACAATTAGAATTAAGAGTAGTGGTCAGATTCTGAAAATGTTTAGTAAATAAAATCAGTGCAGTGTGAATTGAGTTGGGGAATAAGACATAAAGAAGGCAGAAGAAGTTTAATATCATAAAGTTTTGCTGCCTTCCTGCACTTGGAAGTTAGTTATTATTTTTTACTGTATGGAGGAGAAAATGAAGGCTGGAAATAGAAGAAAATTAGCAGTTCAATTTTAAAAGTTCAATTGAATGAGGCTGTGGGATAATTTTAAGTGATGTCTCATTGTTGGACATATGGCTTTCCATACAGGATCCACATCTGGGCTGATCTGTAAATTTGAGTAATTTATTTATTATTTTAAACTCATAATTGATGCTATGAGAATTTATAGATTATGAAAAGAGGATCTCAAGTCAAACATCTTGAATTGTTTTTTATAAAAATTATTTTATTTATTTAATCGGAAAATAAATATTTTATATACTTATGTACAAAATGGTGTTTGAAATATGTATTGTAGAATCCCTAAAGGGCTAAATAACATATGCATTATCTCATATGCTTATCTTTTTTTGTGATCACAGCACTTAAAATTTACACTGTCAAACAGTTTTCAAGAATACATCACTAACTATAGTCACTATGTGGTGCAATAGATTTCTTAAACTTATTTCTCTTATCTAATTGAAATGTTGTTTCCTTTGATCAACATCTCCCCAAACTTCCTGTCTTCTCCTAATCACCACCATTCTACCTTCTGCTTTTATGAGTTTAACTTTTTTAGAGTCTACACATCAGTGAGGTCATATAGTATTTGTTTTTTGGTGCCCACCTTCACTTATTTTATTTAATATAATATTATCCACGTTCATCAATGTTGTCACAAATGACAGGATTTTTTCTTTTCTCTAAAGCTGAATACTGTTGCATTACGGTATTTTCTCCATCCATTCATCCATGTACAGATACTTAGGTTGATTTTATATCTTGCCTATTGTGAATAATGCTGCAATCACAATGGAAGTGTATATGTCTTTTCAACATACTTACTTAATGTTTAAAATATATACTAAATATTTGGATTGCTACATCATTTTTAACATTTTTAATTCATTTTAATTTTTAACTTTTTGAGGAGTTTCCTATTGTTTTTCATTATGACTGTACTAATTTATATTTTCACCAACAGTATACTAGAGTTCCTTTTTCTCTACATCATTTCCAACACTTGTTATCTTTCTTTTTATATAATACCCATTGTAATCACTCTAACAGGTGTGAGGCAATATCTCACTGTGGTATTAATCTCCCTAGTGATCAGAGATGTTGAGCATTTTGTATATACCTGTTGTCCGTTTATGCATCTTCCTTTGAAAAATGTCTATTTTGGTCCTTGATTCATTTTGTAATATTTATTTTCTTCCTATTGAATTATGTTTCTTATATATTTTGAATATTAATATCTTATCAGATATATGGATTCAAATATTTACTCCTATTCTGTTGGTTGTCTCTTCACACTCCTGTTTCCTTGGCTTCGCAAAAGCTTTTTAGTTTGATGTAATCTCGTATCTTAATTTTGCTTTCTTTTCCCATGTTTTTGGTGTTACATCCAAAAATCATTGTCTATACCAATGTCATTAAGCTTTCCCATGTTTTCGTGTAGTAGTTTAATAGTTTCAGTTATTAGGCTTATGTTTTTAATCCATTTTGAATTGATTTTTTGTATATGATGACAGATAAGGGCCCAATTTCATTCTTCTGCTCTTGGATATTTAATTTTCCCAAGATCATTTATCGAAGAAAATGTCCTTAGCCTATTGTGTGTTCTTGAAACTTTGTCAAAAATAAATTTACTACAAATAACTGGGTTTATTTCTGGCCTTTTTGTTCTATTCCACTGTTCTCTGTGTTTGTTTTTATGCCAGTACTATGTTTGATTATTATAACTTTGCAGTATATTTTAAAGTCAGATTGTGTGCTGCCTCCAGTTTTATTCTTTACTCAAGAATGCTTTGGCTATTTGAATTTTTTCATAATTCCATATGAATTTTAAAGTCGATTTTCCTATTTCTGTAAAAAATGCCATTGGAGGTTTAATAGGAATTGTATTGAATTCATAGATTTCTTGGGTAGTATAGACATAATAATATTTTCCAATTCATGAACACAGGGTATTTTTCCATTTTTATGAATCTCATTCAATTTCTTCTGTCTATGTTTTATAGTTATGAGTATATACGTCTTTAACTTTTTGGTTACATTTATTCCTTATTATTTCCTGAAATTTTTTTATAGCCATTATCAATGAGATTTTTATTATCCAATTTTTTAGCTTGTTGTTATTATAAAAATGATACTAATTTTTGCATGTTGTTTTTGTATCCTTCAACCTTTCTGCATTTGTGTATTAGTTCTAACAGATTTTTGGTGGAGCATTTAGGGTTTTCTTAATATATGTAAGATCATGTCATTCATAAACAGGACACATTAACTTCTTCCTCTCCTATTTTGATGTCTTTAAATTCTTTCTGTTGTCTAATTCTTCTGGTTAGGATTTCTAGAATAGAAGTGGTGAAAGTGGGTATGTTTGTCCTCTTTCTAATTTTTGAAGAAAAGCTTTTATCTTTTTACCACTGAGTATGATGTTAGCTGTGTGTTTGTCATATGTGGCATTTATTGTGTTGAAAACCTCTTTAGGTTAATTGCTTATCATATTTCTCCACATATTCATTCAGTCAATACTATATTAGTTTACTAAGCATGCAAATAAGTTAAACAGAACTTCAGAACTCAGATAGAGTAGACATTCCATAAACTAACCTGTGTACTCTTTGCAAATCTTCACATTCTCTGTTCCGACACCTACCTAGCATTTAAAACCAACGTTTTTGTTTTGTCTTCTAAGAAGCCTCTGTAAACTCTCCTCCTGGAATTTTCTCATCTTTTCTGAATTCCTTAAGCATCTTATCTGTGTTCTCTTAAGAAGCTCTCCATCAACTGTCATGTAATGTAGTTTGATGACTTAAGAGTTGGGGCTCTGGATTCTGAACACTTGTACTTCTGTTCCTACTCCGGAGTTACTATATACTTTGTTTTCTTTTCATAAGATTACACTCAATTTCTTAAGTAACTTATCTGTATATGTTTCCTTTTCCATATAAAAGAGCTTAATATACATTTTGCATGGGGTTTTTGTGAACTTTCAGTAAAACACTTGACCTCATGGGGGTTCAACATGTATTAACTATTATTACTGAAAACCTGTCATGGTTAACTCTATGGAATGTGGTGTAAAAATAGTATTTGAAACCTAATTCATGTGATTTAGGGCAACCTATTATTTAAATGATTTATAAAATTGATAAAATAATAAATATTCTACTGGTTTATTGTGAGGGTCCAGTATACTACTATTTGTAAAATACTTAGAAGAGAGATTTGTAAATAATAATGATAATTACTGATGTGATATAATAATAATAAAGATAATTACTGATTTATTGTATCACTTTAATAATGATAATTACTGATTTATTGATTCTAATAATAATGATAATTATTGATTTATTAAATCATTATAATAATGATAATTACTGACACTATTAATAATCGTGATAATTACTCATATGATATAATGATAATGATGATTGTCATTGCTTTATATGAATCCATTTTCAATCACAAAAAATACATAGGAGATGTTACATTTATTATATGCTATTAGGTAACTTTTTCTCCTGTTTTGTAACTTCCATGTGTCTTTCTAATAATGGTTGGTTCATTATTGACATATGAACTCAAGATAACCTGGAAAATGAGTCTGGTACTTCTGGGCCAAAATTTTGTTCAATGTCCTGACATGTTTTCTTTAGAAAATGTATTTTGCGTGAAAGCAATCCTTATATCTAGATGAACTAGATAACAATCTTCATAGAGTTAACTGAGAAGAGAGGAGATATCTGGCTTTTCCACATACAATCTGCTTAAATCATATCTCTTGTATTGAAATAAATGATTTATTACTTTGATATATATGTATATATCATATATATAAGTATATATATGTAGATATATATAGATATATATAGATATTTCCTGGTAAAAATTTGAATTATGCCAAGGAGTAATACAATAACTCAGTGTCATATTAATCTACTATAATATTTGTTAAATATTTTCAGTTCTAAATTTTGGTTTGAAAAAAGACGCTAAAGAATTAGGTATCCAGATGCATTTACCCACTGAATGATTAAGTTGGATGCTTACTTATGTATTCAGCAAGCAGATTAAGTACTTTTAAGCATTTTGAGCAGAAAATTCTTAATTAGTACTATTGGGTATAGCTTGTGTGTTAAAAAATGCAAATTCAAAGATACAGTTATTTCACAAGGAAGCTAAATACAGAGAAAAGGAAAGATCCTACAGTCTAGTAGGAATAATTTACAGTCTAGACAAGAGAATGGACTGTCCTGGATGCACACATTTCAGGTAGATCATCATGAGCTTTGAGCAAGAGAAAGAGAAATCTGAATACAGTGGATGATCAGGAAATTAGCCTTAGGCCCAATGCCGCAGAAAGGAAAAAGACAAGCTATAAAAACCAAATTTAAATGGCAATGAATTGTTAAACACAGCCTGGTAGGAATTTGATGGGTCAGAGAATGCTACGGGTACAAAGAAATAGTGAGTATTTGTTGAAGACATGGTAAGACAGAAGGTATTTTCAAGGATGTTTCACATAACAGAGTTTTGTCTAAAGCAAGGGCAAAACTCTTTAAGCTATGCCCATATTTGAAGGAGTCTTTATATTCCTGACAGAAGACAGCTGCAAAAAAAAAGGCCATAAGAATTTAGAAGCTCTGTTCAAACGTGCCCTTCAGAGTAAATCAGATAACTCGGTGAAAAAAAGATTTCCCAAATTGAAGAAAAAGAAAAAACATGATGCCAAAACTGAAGACAGGCCCCTCGTGACAAACCACATGCCAAAGGACAACATGTCTGGACAAACATCTATGCAGACCCTATCTACTACGAATCAAAAGTCGACCGGTGTAAAAAGTAAGACTGGGTATTTTACAACGGATATCTCCAATGTTTTAGAATCTATTCAATTCTAAGACCCATGTAGTGACTTCTGTGATCCCCCATCCTACCTTTATGAAACTATCATTTTCACTAAACCTATAATTTTTCTTTCAGGGACTACCTTGTCTTTTGTGGGGTGGGATCCAGTGTCCAATTGGCTAGAAGGCTGAGTCCTTGGGTTCAGACTGTGCATGGAAATAATTAATAGTAGAGGCTTGTAGTAAGACATACTCAAACCTAAACCTAGATTCTGTCATTAATAATCTATGTGACTGCCTGCATGTATCTTAACTTCTCTTGCTCCCGAATCATCAGTCTTACTGCCTATGAAATGAGGACAATTTCAGTACCTTCTCACAAGACTGTGGAAGGTTAGGAACATTGTGCTGGTAGGCATCAACATGCCAGCAACTCCCAAGATGTTAGCTGTCATCCAGAACTCTCCTCTGAGCTCCAGACTCATTTAGCTCTAGATGCATTTTCAACAATTCTGCTCCAGTGTTTCATTGGCTTTATTAAACTAATTAAACACTTTTTCTTCTAAACAAATTTGTTCCAACTTTAACCCCTTTCCATTTTAGTAAAAGAAACTAATATATATCAAATTTCTCCCACCAGAATGCAACTGGTTGCTTTACCAATGACTGGCAGTAATTGGTAGAAGGACAGGCACAACAATTTATCACTGATATCTATATTTTCCAATAAAATTTCAAATTAAGCTAAGGTGTAGTAATTAACCTGATGTCACATAAATTCATCATGCTAGATTGGTTGTCATATTATTTTCAATTTCAAATTTTGATTGAGGAAAAGATGCTAAAAAATTAGGACTGTAGATGCAATCATCCATTTGTTCATTAAGTCATGTATTCAGCAAGCATGCTAAGTACTTTTAAGCGTTTTGAGCACAAAGATGTTAATGAGCACAAAGATGTGGGTATAGGATGTGTGCTAAAAATGCAAATTAAAAGGTATGGTGTTTTCCCCAAGGAAACTAACTACAACAAAGAGGCCAGATTGTATAGTTTAGTAGTATTTACAGTCTAGATAAGAGCATGGACTGTCCTGGGAGTGTGTCTTACAGGTAAATCATCATCATCATGAACTGGGAACAAGAGAAAGAGAAATATGAAAACAGCAGGTGACCAGGAAGTTAGCATTACGCCCAATGCCACAGAAGGGAGAAGAAAAGCTATAAAAACAAATTTAAGAGGAAATGAATTGCTAAGCACACTCTGGTATGAATTTGATGGGTGAGAGAACTCTGCAGGTGCAAAAACAAGGGTGTGTTATTCGTTGGGGACATGGTAAAATAGAATGTATTTTCAGAAGAGTTTTATATTACAGAGTTATGTCTTAGGTGAGGGCAGAACTCTTTAAGCTGTGCCCATAGTTAAAGGAGTCTTTCTCTTTCTGACAGAAGACAATCGCAAAAAAGAAATACTTAAGGTGTTGGAACACCTGGGCAAAGATATGCTTCATGGTGTTTTTCATCATTTGGCAAAACACGATGTTCTGACATTGAAGGAAAAGGAAAAATATTACAGTGTCAAAATTGAAGACAAGGTAGACTCTGTGCTAAAGAATGGCATGGCTCATCAAAGGTTTATCCAAACCCTTCTCAATATGGACCAAAGGATCACCAGTGTAAAACGTAAGGCTGCATCTAACACAATAAATATGTTAAATTTTCCAGAATATATTCAACTCCAAGGCCCATGCAGTGTTATCTGTGATCCTCCTACACTTTCATTTCTAAACTCTCATTTTCAGTAAACATGTCATCGTCCTGTTAGAGACCACCTTATCTTTTATGGGATGGGAACAAATTTCCAATTAGCCAAAAATCTGTGTCCTTGTGTTTAGACTGTGCACAGAAATAGTTAATAGGGGAGATTTTTTAGTAGGGGATACTTAAACCTAAAGTTAGATTCTGTCACATGTGAACTATGCAGCTTCAGGTAAGTTTCTTAACCTTCCATTCTCCCTAGTCATCAGTCTTACCACCTGTGAAATGTGGACAATTCCAGTACTTTCTCACTAGACTGTCTACAGCTAGAAACATTGTAATGCCAGGCACCACATGCCAACAACTTCCAAGATATTAGCTCTCATAACTCTCTCATCTGAGCTCCAGACTCATTTAGCTCTAGTGGCATATTCAACAATTCTGCTCCAGTGTTTCACTGGCATCACAAAATGAATACAGCTAAAATTAAATGCTTTGTTTTCCAGAATAAACGTGCTCCACTTTTAACCCTTTTCCGCTTCAGTAAAAAGAAGTAATATGCACCAAGTTTCTGCTACCAGAATGTAACTGGTTTCTTCACCAATTAATAAGAGAAATTAATGGAGATCCTGGCACATAGCAGATACCTAATTAATGTGTGATGAATAAACAAATGAAGTGTATGCATGCAATAAAGAGTGCTTTCTTAATTATTATTTGGGCACCACAAATTAGAATTTTCCAATGCTTACTCATTTCTGTGAGTTACAAAATTATGATCAGGGAACTACTATAAAATGTTTAAATTTTATAACAGTTCAAAACTTTTGACACAGATTGAATTATCAGAATTATTAGAGCCTAAATATTCTCAGATTAATGTTTCCCAGGGATGAACTCAATTTACCATAGACTTTAAACTGAAATCTTCAGCCCTGAACTCCTACAGTTTACCAATAATCATATATGATCATGAACACAAAGCAACATAAATTGTTCAAACGTCACTACACTAAATAAACTCCCTTTCTCTATGGGGAAAGTTTCCCCTCAACAAAAACCACATGCTAGTATAGTTGTCCAAGGTTTTAGGCAAGGATGCATTCTTATTAGTATTTAAACTGGTCTTTTGCAAGTATTTTCCTTTTCCTCAAACCTGGAATGGCAGGGGGAAAATATTCGTTTTAAAAAATCAGAGATAATGCAGCAAATAGGAATCATATTTGTAGCAATAAGGGCTTCAAAATGATTTTAGCAATCCCAGATATCATATATGATGAGCACTAAACTATAAACTCAAATAGCCTATCTGATCAGCAGAGGCTGTGGCAGGAAGGAGGCAGCTGCAAATCCCTGCAGCAGGGGTCCAGTGGCTCCCTGCACTCTGTCTGCATTTGGATTCTCCAGAAAGATCGATCCCAGAACACTCTGAGTACACTGGCCCAGCATACCAGGAAGCTGGGTGGGCTGGGCTATTAGAAGAGGTACAGGCCTTGGACAGGTCTTTGGATATGATTGTAATTCTGAGGGTTTCCAGCAGAGCATTGGATTCTGGAGCGCAGGATAAGAAGAATCCTAGCTATTCGTTTGTTATTTAACAAACTGTTGTATGTACACACACACACACTTATGTACACACATATATATACACACACACACATATATACACATACACACACTATATACCAATGATGTGATTTAGTCAGAGAGATAACCATGTAAGTCCCTACGTGATGTGAGAAATTGCTTTTCTGATCCTGTACCACTCCACCACTCCCTTTCTTGTGTCAATGTAAAGAGATTGTTGAGCAGATTCCTGAGAGATTCCTGTTTCATTAAGATAACAGATAAGACTCAAATTGAAATTTTTATCTAAACTCCTGATGTCCATATTACTTCTTGTTGCCCTGTCAGGCTAATAGAAACTCTCTTTGGAAGCAGATTGTACTATAATATATATTATTTTGTAATAAAATAGTATTTTTATACTAATTCTATTACTGGATATAAGATAGAATTTCTGTCTAATTTCTAATTTTACTGGAAAACACCTGTTCTACACACAGACACATAAAAGTCATTAGGAGATGACTGTTAAGTTGGAAGTTCTCCAAACCTTTAAACAGGAAAACATACCCTCAGACCAGGAATATCCCAGGACCCTGGATGTCTTCACATTGGCAGAATTTTCTGAAATGAGAAGAAAAAGCATCTGTCACTGTTTAATCTATGAAAAAATAGATGCTTAGAAGGTTTGGTTTCCTTACACACTTATAACTTATTGTATTCCCAGAACTCAGGCTTTTATCATACACTTTAGCAAGACATTTACTTTAAAATATTTTTTAAAATGAACAGAAACAAATGATAGAAATATAAAAAATACATGAAATATTACAAAACAATGCAAATTTTATACAGAATAATATTACTTTACTGATGATTCCTATGTCTTGGTTGGATCACTTAACCAAGCATAAAAATATGCCCGTCCATTCCTTTTATGAAAAGAAATCTTCTTATTGGATCTTAGTAAACTTTTCTTCTAGTTTGTATATGTAAATTCCTTTTTCTTTTCCAGAAGGAGGGCTCAATAATCTCCCAGTTTTTTGCACAATATCGGTTAAAAGAGATCAATATTACATTTCACAAGGGGATAGATCAGAATTACTCAGAAGCAAACTTATCCAAAAGAGATGTATTATTTCCTCACATTATAAAATATGAGTTGGACAGTGTTGGCTGCTCCAGCAGTTTAGAGACAAGATGTCCAGAGTTATGTCAGAATCTCATACAAATATTTGTCCCTTTGACCTTGGACACAGTACTATTGTCACTAGACGACATTTCTTCATAAATAGGTGACTTCACAATTTGTTGAAAGATAGCTGAAGCCTATTTCCTCTAGAAAAATTAGTAATTAACATAAAGGTTGCTTAAAAAAGACCAGGATGGTACAGAATTCAATATTCTGTTAAGTGTTTGCTGTATGCATATATCTGTATGTAGTGTGAACTAGAAGGGGACTATCACTCCAAAATGCGATGTTGTCCCATCCAGTTTTGTAGCCACTAGACAGATGTAGCTATTAAGTATTTAACTTGTGGCTAGTGACACATGTTGAAATAATAATATTTTGAATATATTATTTAAATAAATACATTATTAAAATTATTTTTACCTTTTGTAAATGTGATATTAGAAAATTTAATATTGCACATGGAACACACATTGCATTTCAAATAGATAGCACTCTGACAAGTATTAGCACACTCTTGCCCCGACACAGCAAAAAGTCCAAATAAATGAATGAGTACCCTAGGGTAAAACCACTGGAAAAATCAAACTGTTTTTCAGAATATAGAAAAGCCAAATTTAACTCTAAATCATCAAGATTTTTTCTCCAGAATAATCAGAATCTATAACTGCATTTTTTTTCTTGGTGGGGTTGGGGGAGATCTGCTTTCTCTGTCAGGGAATTCCCGCAATACATTTCCTTAAGCTGGAAATTAGGTACAGCTATAACCCCTACATACAAAGAAGTCTTTTCCTAAGAGTTCTCTCTCTCTCTCAAAGTTCTTAGGTGATAAATTCGGTCACAGGGGCAGAAGCCATAATTTATATATATATATATATATATTTATTTATTATTATTATTATACTTTAAGTTCTAAGGTACATGTGCATAACATGCAGGTTTGTTACATATGTATACATGTGCCATGTTGGTGCTGCACTTATTAACTCGTCATTTACGTTACGCATATCTCCTAATGCTATCCCTCCTCCCTCCCCCCTCCCCCATGACAGGCCCCAGTGTGTGATGTTCCCCTTCCTGTGTCCAAGTGTTCTCATTGTTCAATTCTCACCTATGAGTGAGAACATGCAGTGTTTGGCTTTTTGTCCTTGTGATAGCTTACGGAGAATGAGGTTTCCAGCTTCATCCATGTCCCTACAGAGGACATGAACTCATCCTTTTTTATGGCTGCACAGTATTCCATCGTGTATATGTGTCACAGTTTTTTTAATCCAGTCTATCATTGATGAACATTTGGCTTGTTTACAAGTCTTTGCTATTGTGAATAGTGCCACAATAAACATACGTATACATGTGTCTTTATAATAGCATGATTTATAATCCTTTGGGTATATACCCAGTAATGGGAAGGCAGGGTCAAATGGTATTTCTAGTTCTAGATCCTTGAGGAATCGCCACACTGTCTTTCACAATGGTTGAACTAGTTTACAGTCCCACCAACAGTGTAAGTGTTCCTATTTCTCCACATCCTCTCCAGCACCTGTTGTTTCCTGACTTTTTAATGATGGTCATTCTAACTGGTGTGAGATGGTATCTCATAGTGGTTTTGATTTGCATTTTTCTGATGGCCAGTGATGATGAGCATTTTTTCATGTGTCTGTTGGCTGCATAAATGTCTTCTTTTGAGAAGTGTCTGTTCATATCCTTTGCCCACTTTTTGATGGGGTTGTTTTTTTCTTGTAAATTTGTTTGAGTTTTTTGTAGGTTCTGGATATTAACCCTTTGTCAGATGAGTAGATTGCAAAAGTTTTCTCCCATTCTGTAGGTGGCCTGTTCACTCTGATGGTAGTTTCTTTTGCTGTGCAGAAGCTCTTTAGTTTAATTGGATCCCATTTGTCAATTTTGTTGCCATTGCTTTTGGTGTTTTAGACATGAAGTCCTTGCCCATGACTATGTCCTGAATGCTACTACCTAGGTTTTCTTCTAGGGTTTTTATGGTTTTATGTCTAACATTTAAGTTTCTAATCCATCTTGAATTAATTTTTGTATAAGGTGTAAGAAAGGGATCCAGTTTCGGCTTTCTACATGTGGCTAGCCAATTTTCCCAGCACCATTTATTAAATAGGGAATTCTTTCTCCATTTCTTGTTTTTCTCAGGTTTATCAAAGATCAGATGGCTGTAGATGTGTGGTATTATTTCTGAGGACTCTGTTCTGTTCCATTGGTCTATATCTCTGTTTTGGTACCAGTACCATGCTGTTTTGGTTACTGTAGACTTGTAGTATAGTTTGAAGTCAGGTAGTGTGATGCCTCCAGCTTTGTTCTTTTGACTTAGGATTGTCTTGGCAATGCAGGCTCCTTTTTGGTTTCCATATGAACTTGAAAGTAGTTTTTTTCCAATTCTGTGAAGAAAGTCATTGGTAGCTTAATGGGGATGACATTGAATCTATAAATTACCTTGGGCAGTATGGCCATTTTCATGATACTGATTCTTCCTATCCATGAGCATGGAATGTTCTTCCATTTTTTTGTATCCTCTTTTATTTCGTTGATCAGTGGTTTGTAGTTTCCTTGAAGAGGTCCTTCACATCCCTTGTAAGTTGGATTCCTAGGTGTTTTATTCTATTTGAAGCTATTGTGAATGGGAGTTCACTCATGATTTGGCGCTCTGTCTGTTATTGGTGTGTAAGAATGCTTGTGGTTTTTGCTGATTGATTCTGTATCCTGAGACTTTACTGAAGTTGCTTATAAGCTTAAGGAGATTTTGGGCGGAGACAATAGGGTTTTCTAAATATACACTCGTGTCATCTGCAAACAGGGACAATTTGAGTACCTCATTTCCTAATTGAATACCCTTTATTTCTTTCTCCTGCCTTATTGCCCTGGCCAGAACTTCCAACACTATGTTGAATAGGAGTGGTGAGAGAGGGCATCCCTGTCTTGTGCCAGTTTTCAAAGGGAATGCTTCTAGTTTTTGCCCATTCAGTATGATATTGGCTGTGGGTTTGTCATAAATAGCTCTTATGATTTTGAGATATGTTCCATCAATATCTAATTTATTGAGAGTTTTTAGTATGAAGGGCTATTGAATTTTGTCAAAGGATTTTTCTGCATCTATTGAGATAATCATGTGGTTTTTGTCTTTGGTTCTGTTTATATGCTGGATTATGTTTATTGATTTGTGTTTGTTGAACCAGCCTTGCATCCCAGGGATGAAGCCCACTTGATCATGGTGGATAAGCTTTTTGATGTGCTGCTGGATTCGGTTTGCCAGTATTTTACTGAGGATTTTTGCATCAATGTTCATCAGGGATATTGGTCTAAAATTCTCTTTTTTTTTGTTGTGTCTCTGCCAGGCTTTGGCATGAGGATGATGCTGGGCTCATAAAATGAGTTAGGGAGGGTTCCCTCTTTTTCTGTTGATTGGAATAATTTCAGAAGGAATGGTACCAGCTCCTCCTTGTACCTCTGGTAGAATTCGACTGTGCATCTGTCTGGTCCTGGACTTTTTTTTGGTTGGTAGGCTGTTAATTATTGCCTCAATTTCAGAGCCTGTCATTGGTCTATTTAGGGATTCACCTTCTTCCTGGTTTAGTCTTGGGAGGGTGTATGTGTCCAGGAATTTATCCATCTCTTCTAGATTTTCTAGTTTATTTGTGTAGAGGTGTTTCTAGTATTCTCTGATGGTAGTTTGTATTTCTGTGGGATAGGTGGTGATATCCCCTTTATCATTTTTTATTGCATCTATTTGATTCTTCTCTCTTTTCTTCTTTATTAGTCTTGCCAGCCGTCTATCAATTTTGTTGATCTTTTCAAAAAAACAGTTCCTGGATTCATTGATTTTTTGAAGGGTATTTTTGTGTCTCTACCTCCTTCAGTTCTGTTCTGATCTTCGTCATTTCTTGCCTTCTGCTAGCTCTTGAATGTGTTTGCTCTTGCATCTCTAGTTCTTCTAATTGTGATGTTAGGGTGTCAATTTTAGATCTTAATTTATATTTTGTGATATCCCACAGCTCTTCTGCAAATTGAGGCTGGACCACCTGAGTCAGCAGAATCTACAAATACTCTAATACTTTGTCCTCATGAAGAATTCCTGAGACGGTGTAAAGAAAACCATGATGAGGTGCCGTGCTCTCTACATGAAGTGGGGAAAAAGAGAGAAACAATTGCTTTCACTAAATGCACATTTTTAAAAATGGGGTCTTGCTCTGTTGCCCAGCCTGGAGTGCCATGGTGTGATCATAGCTGACCGCTGCCTTGAACACATCGGCTCCAGAGATTCTCTAGCCTCAACTTCCCAAGTAATTAGGACTACAGATGCACACTACCATGCCAGGCTGATTTTTTTTTTTTTTTTTTTTTTTTTTTTTGTAGAGACATAGTCTCACTATGTCACCCAGTCTGTTCTCCAAATCCTGTCTTCATGAGCCTTGGCCTCCCAAAGCGCTGGGATTACAGGCTGGAGCCACAGTACCAGCCATAAATGCAGAAATACATAAAGCAGTAAATGATGAGGGGGTGGTGACAGTGGTAACCTTTATGATAGATGCTTTCAGTAGGCAAGGATTCATATGGCTTCAAACAGACACCAATGCTCTTTCAACCCATGATAAAATGTAGCTTCCTCATTTTTATCAATTATTGATTTTTGTATCTATTTGGGATTTACTACCATTTCAGATATAGTCACAAAATAAAAATGTTTATAAGATAACATGGCTGAGTAGTAATTGTTTGTACTCTAGTTGAAAAGCCTAGACATAAAATATATTTGAAAAGTATAATTAAATCTTGAAAATCATTGTAAGTTTATGTTTTTAAAATAGTACCAAAATAATCATAATACAGAAGGCAAAGAATATTTGCTATATTTATTTTTACTGGAGTCAATGACAACATCTCTTGGTTTATATGAAATTTGATTTGAACCTGAATATAAGAAATGTTTGAGTAGGTGGAGAAGAAAAAGGAGAAGGAAGGGGGTAGGAATTATTCAGTTTCCTCAAGATTCTTGAGTGATCATTCCAGATATGTCCCAGTTCTTGCTCTGGGCTCTAGAGAGAGGAAAGTTAAATAATAATTTCAGATATGTCCTGGTTCTTGGTCTGGGCTCTTGAGAGAGAGGGGAAGGCAGTGTCTTCTGATAGAGTTTAGAGAAGGGGGCAGCTGCATGAAAAAAGCAAAATAATGAGGCATATGGAGGTTGAAAAGAGACTCAGGTAATCAAAGTTGCTTCATCTCCATCTCCTGCAGATCTATCCAATAAAAAAGAGAGAGGACCGCAAACGCCTGGCTCTCATCATATGCAATACAGAGTTTGATCATCTTCCACCAAGGACTGGGGCTGACTTTGACATCCTGGGGATGAAAGGGCTGCTTCAGGGCCTGGGCTACAATGTGGTTGACAAAACGAATCTCACAGCCAGGGTAAGAACCCCTAAGCCATCTCACACTCACCCATGGGCAACATACATTCTTCTAATCATTAGTTAGCTTTATAGAAGTTCAACAAGGTTTAACAACCTCTGGGTTCATGTGTGTGTGCGTGCGCACGTACACGCACACATGCACTAGCAAAAGAAACTATTGGATACATAAATCTGTGTCTCTTCTGAGCCTCAAATACCCTCAACTCCATAAAACTAGACAAAATATGATTGGGATGTATTTTCACAATTATTATTGAGTTCCAGTAAGATCAGGTGATTGGGATGTAGTCCCAATATTTCACAGAAAGTCACAGAGTAATGTGTTTTTGGCATGAGTGCACTTTTTTTTTTTTTGAGACGGAGTCTCACTCTGTCACCCAGACTGGAGTGCAGCAGCATGATCTCAGCTCACTGCAACATCCACCTTCCAGGTTCAAGCAATTCTCCTGCCTCAGCCTCCCAAGTAGCTGGGACTACAGGCGCCCGCCACCATGCCCAGCTAATTTTCTGTATTTTTAACAGAGATGGGGTTTCACTGTGTTAGCCCGGATGGTCTCGATCTCCTGACCACGTGATCTGCCCACCTCAACCTCCCAAAGTGTTGGGATTACAGGTGTGAGTCACCATACCTGGCACAGGAGTGCACTCTTAAAACAAATATTAAATCCAAACTTTGGGGCCAAGAGCTTTTCCTGACGCTGTGGATAAGTCTGTAAATGATACAAGAAGCTTCAAATTTACAAGGATCTAGGTTAGAGTGGAGGTAAAATCTCACAATATAAGCAAAACCAGACCAATTTCAGAGAATGAGTGTGTGTATGTGTCTGTATAAGAATAAGAAGAGAATCCAAAATAAGCAAAAAGAAAACTAAAAGGAAACATGAGAGGGAATGTTGGATGGGGTGTGACGTTTTTGGGTTGGTCCAGAAAAGCCTCTGAGGGGAGAGAACATAGGAGTTGGACTGAACTACCAAAAGGAATGAGATGGCTCTGGGAAGATGTGAATGCAGTGCCTTCCAAGTAGGGGTAGCTACCTGTGAAAGAGCTGAGCTGAAAATGAAACTGGCACATGTGAGGCACAAGAGAAGACCAGTATGACTAGAGATTGAAGCAGAACAGACATAATGTAAGGGTAAGAATGGTCAGGCAAGAAGATTGATTTTATTCTAAGCAACGTACATTGGATTTTACAAGGACGGTGGTGTGATGCATTTATAACACATCACTCTTGTTAGGAAAGGAGAGACAAGATTGAGATTTTAAAAAAGTAATATAAGTTACATATAAAAATATACAATATATTAAGAAGACAGTGCATGGTGCATCAGCAGGGAGAAAAAGTAGGAACCCACAGCTCCCCTACGAAGGAAAAAATAAAAAAAACAAAAAACATAAAACAGCTGTCATGACTGAGTAAGCACTATGTGAAGCACCGTGACCCAGATGTCACATATTTTACTTGTTTCACTCATGGTAAATCCAGGACATCCTATTAATTGTGATGCTTCTCTGACTGAAGTTAGACATTGCTCTTTTACAGAAAATGGAGTCAGAACTGAGGGCTTTTGCTAGGCGACCAGAGCACAAGTCCTCCGATAGCACGTTCCTAGTGCTCATGTCTCATGGCATTCTGGAGGGAATCTGCGGAACTGCACATGACGAGAAAAACCCAGATGTGCTGCTTTATGACACCGTCTTCCAGATATTCAACAACCGAAACTGCCTCAGTCTAAAGGACAAACCCAAGGTCATCATTGTCCAGGCCTGCAGAGGCAGTGAGTGCTGGGACTGAACATCTAACAGTTGTGAAGGTGTATGCAGAGGATTTTGATATTTAGTTTATATTTAGGGACAACAGTCTTAGACTCCATCTAGTGCAAATAAAGTACAATGAATTCTAAAGAAACTCTACCTAAGGGTCTGGTATAATGAGAAATTGTCTCATCAGCGGAGAAATTTCTGTACAATTTTATCCACAGTAAGCCGTGAGGGAGATCACCAGAATCCCTAAATCAAAGTTAAACAGAAATACTGAAACTTTGGAATGGAATCATTTTCATGATAGCTTGATTTGTAAATGTTTTACAGACATTTTGACATTATGTGCTTTCTGAAGAATTTGCACTTGAAACTGAAGTTATCATGTGAGACACACACCCTATTTATTTATAGTTGTTGAAAGGAAAATGAGTAGGGAGTTAAGGAAACTTGAGGGGTTTAAGTCAATCTTCTCTCTCTCTCTTTTTATTCCTGACTTCCAATTGCCTCATGACTATTGGGATGTATGTTTTGTTTGTTTTTTAAGAAAGCAGAAATAACTTAACTGAAAACTGGTAATGACATGATAAATTCACTGTTAATTGACACATTGTTGAATGACACTAGAGACGAAGCAAAGTGTGTGTGTGTGTGTGTGTTTGCATGTGTGTGGGTCTGTATATATGTATTAAATTAGTTAGAAAGAACACTGAAAAATAACAAGGTGGGCAACTGTGATAGCCATGGTAAGGGAGGCACAGCAGTGTATAAAAAGTTGATGCCTCTTGAACCAACCCAAATGCCCATCAATGATAGACTGGATATAGAAAATGTGGTACATATATCCCATGGAATACGGTGTAGTCATAAAAAGGAATGAGATCGTGTCCTTTGCAGGAACATGAATGAAGCTGGAAGCCATCATCCTCAGCAAATTAATGCAGGAACAGAAAACCAAACACCTCATGTTCTCACTTATAAGTGAGGGTTGAACAGTGAGAATACATGGATACAAGGAAGGGAACATCACACACCGGGGCCTGTCGGGAGGTCGGGGGGAAGGGGTAGGAGAGTCTTAAGGCAAATACTTAATGCACGTGGCTTAAAACCTATATGATAGCTTGATAGGTGCAGCAAACCACAATGGTACACATATAACTATGTAACAAACCTACACATTCTGCATTTCTATTCTGGAACTTAACGTAACCTAAAAGACAGAAAAAAAGAAAAGAAAGTTGATGTATCTTTGATGTCTCTACAGAAAGACGTGGGGAACACTGGGTCAGAGATTCTCCAGCATCCTTGGCAGTCATCTCTTCACAGTCACCTGAGAACCTGGAGGAAGATTCTGTTTGCAGAGTCCACGTGGAGAAGGACTTCATTGCTTTCTGTTCTTCAACACCACGTATGTGTCTTTTAGCAACAGTAAAAAATGTGGGGGTGCTGAGGACACCTTTGAATGATCCTATGAAATCAACATAGGCCCTAGGCAACAATGAGTTGAGAGAATGGTGTGTGCTCTCTATATATTTTGCATGATCTTATGTGTGCTGTGAGAACAGATTCCTTCCCCCTCCCACACACACATTTTAAGAAATTGTAGTTTTATTATAAGTGTTACACTTTACAGTCAAAGGTATGCCAAATATTATAAAGCAATACAATACAAGTAACTGCATTCATCACACACCATGTAAACAGAAATTATGGATTCTGTTTTTTTATCAGATCCATTTAACATTTTGAATATAAGTTTTATGGATCCCAGTACTGGCTGTCTTTCCAAATGAGCAACTTCAAGCCCTCTTCTACATACATTCCACTTGATCCTACAAAGAGCAATGTTATTGAGTGTCCAGATAAAAATGTGAATGCCCTTTAAAAAAAAGTAGGAAATGTTAGGGTGGGGCTAATTAGGTCTAATTACAGGAAACAGTGGTTTGCATTTCACCTCTAGGTAATCACCCTAAAGGTCTTTACATTTTACTCTTTCCAAGTTGTAAATTTTTAAGTCTTATTTTTAAACCACTTTATGGAGGCATAACTGACATACAAAAACTGTACATATTTAATGCATGCAACTTAATAAGTTTGGAGATTAGTACACACCCCTCAAATCATCACCCAAATCTATGCTGTAAATATCTCTGTCTCCTCCAAAAGATTCCTCCGGCTCTCTATTTATTATTATCATCATTCTGCAAGGGTGTGATAAGGATAATTTATATAAGATCTACTCTCTTTACAAATTTTTAAGTGTATAAGACAGGATTATTTACTATTGGCACCATATTATACAGTATTTTTCTATGATATTTTAATCTTCTGTAACTGAAACTTTGGATGTGTTCATCTATTTTGTTTATTGTATGGTAAAAGACATCATGGTGCAATCTGTAAACAATCTTGGAACCAGAAAGCAATTTTTTGTTGCTTCCTCACTGAACCTTTATTCATCCTTCTGGGCTTCTGTTCTTTCCTTTGTAAAGTGGAACAATTCCAGTTATTTCTCAAGACCCCTTTTCTAAGCAAAGTGAATGAACATGAGGTCCATAATAGAAAGTCAGTTCCAAGAATCAAAATACAATCACTATGCAATCTCTTGTAATGTTTACAAGCTGTCTTTTTTGTTCAACCTTTGCCAGCTTTTCTGTTTCCTCTGTGTGAAACCTAAGTAAATGTTAGGTTATAAGGAATTTCCATAAATCTATCAAGTAAATTCCCAAGCTATGCAAAAACAAAAATATAAACAAAAACATAGTGAAAGTCGTAGCCCAAGGTATATCAGTCTGTATCATCATAGATAACATGTCCTGGAGAGACCGCACAAAGGGCTCCATCTTCATCACGGAACTTATCACATGCTTCCAGAAATATTCTTGGTGCTACCACCTAATGAAAATATTTCAGAAGGTAAGCTTCCGTTTCCTTTTCTAGTCATTTATTTATTTGCTCAGAAAGAATTTATCATTATTCCCTAATTGAATGAAAATGACACACTTCTTCAGGCAAGCAAAAGTAGAACGGCACCTGATTTCTGTCATTCAGGTGTTTAAAATCTGGTTTAGAGAAAGAAATTGTCAATATATCCCAGAAGAAGAGCAAAGTAAAACAAAATAATATCAGCTATAAGCTTCATGTTTTGGGTTGTAAGTTATTAAAATTCAGAGAATAGAAAACACTTTGAAATAATTTTGATTAATTTACTAAATGAATAAAAACTGGATGGAGGTGATGGACTTCATCCTGATAACAAAGGGGTAAATGAGGTTTGCATGGCTTAAGACTACCTAGGACTCACACTTTTGTGAGAGATATGGATACTGGAAATATGGGCTGACAAAAAAATGTGTAATTACACATTGTGGTAGAATTCATAAAGGCATGTAAGAGGGAATAAAAAAGAAATCACTCTTTCCATGGAAAAGGGCAGAAGGGAAGGTTTACCATTCCTTGCCCAACTTGGGACCTTCCTTATTCCCCGTCCTTCCTACTTTATTTTCTCCACAGTTCTTACCTCCTCCCACTAAGCATATATTAATAGTTTATTTATGTGTCTGTTTTTTACCGTATTTACTCACTAACATGCAAACTTCAAGAAGGCGGGGATTTGCTCAGCACCTCAATATGCCTGACATATAGCAGACATTCAATTAATATATATTGAATAAATAGATGCATAAATGAATAGATAAATGTTCCTTCTCTTTTTAAGGGAAAATAGGATTGGTATTAACACAGGAAAGTGTGGTTGTTTCTAAATTAAAAATTGTAGAAAACAGTAAAACTCCTGTGGGAAGAAGAATATATACCACTGGCGTTTAAAGAAGATTGTACCATAAATTGAGACAGGGTTTCTGTGAATAGAGAACTGGGACGTTAAGTCCTTTTGGATGATTAGGAATGAGACATTGTACTTTTGAGGGTATTCCTGGAAAAAGACTAGAAATACTGGATTTACGGTAAGCAGGATCTCATTGATCAGTCCTTGCATAAGATTTCAGGGGTCAGCTTGGTGGTGTCGGCATGAAAGTTGTTCAGTGTTCAGGCCTTAAAGCAAGATTCTGGGATTTAATTCTACTTAAATTGAAGAATCAGCCTTGGTGAGGGTTGAAAGTACTAAGTCTTCCATATCCAGTTCTCATGAGCATATCTCAAGGGATATTTAATTGATTTCCACATCTGTAGGTCAAAAATGGAAAATAGAGAAAATGGAGGTTGAAAAGCCTTGACTAGGCATGCAGTGTTTATTGTGATGTAAAGTGTACAGTCTGACATGGGGTGTCAATTCTAAGAGGTAGGGTAGCAGTGTTAAGGAGTTGGAATATCCATGGGCTTGGTCCTATCAACCCTGGAAGCTGTCTTCATTCCAGGTATTTCCTGGTTCATGGTGCAAAGTGTTTTCTGAGAATCCAAAATCCCTTATATCTCATCTACTGTTTTTTCTTTTAGGTACAGAAATCATTTGAAATTCCAAAGGATAAAGCCCAGATGCCCACCATAGAACGAGTATCCTTGACAAGAGATTTCTACCTCTTTCCTGGCAATTGAAAATGTAAGTATTGAGAGTTGTTGGAGGGTGAAATAAATGAAAGAGCTATATTAGTGGTGAAGTTCAATGACCAATGACAGCTGACTACTTGTATGGTCAAGTTAGAGTTCTTTATTGACGCAGTCTGGTGAGAATTTATGTGCTCTTTTTTTATTCTACTTAGATGCATTTAGTTTCCCCCAACTATATAATCAATCAAGGAGGTAAGGAAAATTGCAGCGAAATGTAATACACAATGAAAGTCCTACATTAGTAATTATTAAAATAGTAATGTATAAACGTTACCATTATTAATTATATTCATCGATCTCTCATACACTCCCTCTCTTTGTCTCTCTCTCTGTTTCTCTCCCACCTGCCACACTTAGTTACCAACATTGCATCAGACCTTGAACAAAACAGAGTAAACACAGGAGCTAACTATGGGGAAAGCAGGGCTTTGGTCCTCTGAGTGCACGTATCACATTACTGTTGTTGACTTTCTCCTTAGTTCAGCTAAAGATGGGGTCCTTGTCACACGACCATGAGAAATTAGACTCACAGACAATCTGAAAGGTGAAGACGGCAGGGTTTATTGTGTGAAAAGGAAAAAAAATGGGAAATGGACCCTTCACAGAGCCAGAATCCTGCTAGTGCCTTTCTGCCTTGCAGTTTGAATACCAGGTACCACCCAGGAAGAGGAGGGGCCAGGCTTCTCCCTGCTGCAAATGGCATGGACTTCCCAAGGCTCCACCCCAGTGCACATTCTTCCCAGTGCACAGGCTGGTGGGAAGTTCTGCCAGGGAGAGCTTTTTACTTGGCTCTCTCATTACTGACATTCAGCCACAGTTATTGGACAGTAGAAAATACATGCTCAACTGTAGGTATTTTATTCAGGAAACCTTCCTTGAAATAATGAAATTAGAATAGAGAATGGACAGAGTTGGAGAGTGAACCATGAGGTTCTTATGCAGGAAAAGTGTTCCAGCACAGAATATAAGGGCAAATGCCCTGAGGCAGATAAATGCTAAACATGTTTAAAAAGAACTACAATGAGACAGTGTGACCAAAAGAGAATGCAAGTTAGGGAAATGACAGAGACAAATTAGGAGAAACAGTGAGGAGCCTCATCACATTGTGCTTGAACATCACATGGTAAATCTTTAAAAAAATATTATCTGAGTAGATAGGAAAACCTTCCAGTGCTTTGGAAAAGAGAAGTGACATAATTTAATTCAGGTTTCACAAAGATACTCCTAAGTACTTTTTGCTAAACAGTCACAGAGGTCACAGATGGAAGTCGAGGGAAATGACAAAAGCGTATGGCAGAAGATGGAAGAAGAATCATAATGAGGGATGGGATGAAGGCAGTGAGGGATAACCATCTTGACCTTCTGTCCTTTCTCTCTTCTGCAGGAAACCACAGGCAGCCCAGCCCTCCTCTGTCAACACCAAAGAGCACCTTTACCTGTATAGCTTGCATATTCAACATTTGGTGTTTTGATAAAAGTAAAGATGGTATCTTTTTAGATTGTATGAACTGTATATTTTTAGATTCTCTAATAGACAATATAATTTCCATGAAAATGGTGGACAAGTGGAAATGAAGTGGAAGAAGCTAACTGGATTTTCGAGTTTTATGGCTGATGTAACTTCTATACTTGGCTGATGAAGACGACTGGCTGTGACTTACCTCCAACAATAGGATGAAAGAAGATGGTGTCTAAAAGTATAAGAAAGATACCACCTCATACCCATTAGAATGACTCCCATCAAAACATACAAACAAATAGAAAATAACAGGTGTTTGCAGGGATGTAGAATAATTGGAACCCTATGCTCTGTTGGTGAGAATGCTAAATGGCACCACTGTGGAAAACAGTATGGAAGTTCTCACAAAAGTAAAGCTAGAATTATCATAGGATCCAAACTCCACCTTTGGGTACATACCAAAAATAATTGAAAGCAGGGTCTCAAATATATATTTATACACCCATGTTCATGGCAATGTTGCTCATGTTATCTAAAATCTGGAAGCAACAAAAGTATCCATGGACTGAAAAATTGATAAGTAAAATATCATATATAGATATACTAAAATGTAATTTAGCATAGAAAAGAGGGAAGTTCTGACATATGCTAAAATATAGAGGAACTTTGAGGACATTATGCTAGGTAAAATAAGCCCTTCACGCACACAAAAATACAATATGATCACACTTATATGAGGCACCTAGATTATCAGATTCACAGAGACAGAAAGTAGAATGGTGATTGCCAGGTGCTAGGGCAGGAGAAAATGAAGAGTCATTTCATGGTTATAAAGTTTCAGATTTACAAGATAGAAAGAATTCTGGAGGTAGATGGCTGATTGTTGTGCAAAATTATGAATGTAGTTAATACTATTTGGCTGTACGCTTAAAATTGTTAAGCTTGTAATTTTGTTATGACATTTTACTATGATAAAAATTGCGAAAATATAATGATACAATTGAAAGCGAGAAGGTATGAGAGCAACATTAATCAACTTACATAGAGAAAATTTTAGCTACTGAGCAACATTGCTGAAAGAAGAAATTATGGTTAAATATATTATTAATTGTTTCACAATGAATAAAAGGTTTGAACATCATGACATCATCAAATATTAGGTAGAATAGACTAGATATGTGGCAATGTAAGTGAGCTGCATCTCATTTTTCATATGAGGTAGTCAATGGCATTGTTTATGTTTTATATATCAGGAAACACAGAGCTGTAAGAGTCATTATTGAAAATTCCAAATGTTACTGCCAAACAAAACAAAACAAAAACTATTGAAGGAAATTACATCTAGTGTGTGGGACTGAAGGTGGGAAGAGTTGTACTGGGAAATATGATTTTTGTTGTATTCTTTTCTGTACTACGGACTGTCTCATGAATGTATTACTTTGACAAAACATTTAAAATTATATTGAATTGACACTTTTAATAATTTATAGATGTCCAAAAATCAGATAGTATTGAATTTTAATGTGTTGGATTTTTAAAGGGTTTGTCATATGTTGTGAAGCAAAAATTAAACAAATGGAGCAAATTGTTGATAATATAATATGATACTGGTGCTATAAGGAAAAAAGGTATAGGTAAATATGTGTCTGCCAGTTATTTATTTCTGGGTATCAAAACACCCAAAACCTCAGTAGTTTAATGCAATAAGCATTTACTATCGTTCACAAGGTTACCAGTTAGTTACGTAGTTCTTGACTCTGCTGAGATTATCCATGTGTCTGAGATCACCTGTGCATGGGGTAGGCATCTTTACTGAAAGGCTGGGATCTCTCATATGTTTGGAAAGCACATGGCTGGAAGCTGGTCTAGAATGACCTTGGCTGGGGCAATTAGCCTCTTTTCCACATGATGTGTCTTATCAGCTAGCAATGTAGCTCAGGCTCATCCTAATTTAGTTTCAAGTGTCCACGAGGAAGAAGAGCACCAGGCTTTGTAAAGCCTGAGCTGGGAATTGCACCAGATCCTTCTACTGCATTATGTTGGCCAAAACCAAATCATAAGACTAGTTCAGGGTTGAAGCAAAGGGCAAGGATACTAGGAAGCCAATGATGAAGGAAATCAATAAAATCAGTAATGTATTAAGTGTTTTACAAAAGCATAGAAAAAATTCAGAAAGATGCAAGCTAAACATATAACTGTGGTTACCTTGTGTCAAATTAAAGTGTGTGGATAATCCTTTTCCACTTTACAAACTTTTCTGTTGTTTAATTTCAGTGGCAAACCTATATTTATTATTCAAAAATGATTTAAGTATCAGCCTTTTGTATATTTAATGAACAAAAATACCCAAGTGAGTGTGAGAGATAAACAATACCCCAATAGACAAATGAACAGAACTGGAGAGAGAAGAAAAGAGATCACTTATGTGACTTTTTGAAATAGTGAACGGAGTATCACTGGCAGCCTTGAGTCAGACTCTGTCCCCTCACCTTCCAAATGAGGGATGGGATTGATTTATAATGAGTGTAGAAATATTCCCTCCTCCTCTATGTTTCTGAACAGTTGAGTAGGATTGATACAAGGTCTTCCTTAAATGTTTGGTAACATTCTGCAGTGAAACCAGTAACTCACAAGATTTTCTTTGCTGGAGTACTTTTTATTACAGCTTCAATCTTGTTACTTGTCATTAACTTGTTCAAGTTTCGAATCTCTTTATGGTTCAATCTCAATTGACAGGTTGTATGTGTCTAGAAATGTATCCATTTCCTCTAGATTTTCTATTTACTGGTGTATAGTTACTCGTAGTAACCACCAAAGATCCTTTGAATTTCTGCATCATCAGTTGTAATTTATCTTCTGACCGTTGTATTTATTGGGGTCATCTCTCTTTTACTGTTAATCCAGCTAAAGGTTTGACATTGTTGTTTGTCTTTCCAAAACATCAACTTCTTATTTCATTGATTTTATTCTTTTCTTCTTCATTGATTTTGTTTTTTTCTTCATTCCAAATTTATTTACGTCTGCTCTGATATTTAGTATTTTTTTTCTGTGAATTTTGAGTTTGGCTTACTCTTGCTGTTCTAGTTATTTAAGATGCATTGTTAGGTTATTCAGTTCAAGTTTTTCTTCTTTTTTTGATGTAGGCACTTATAGAAATTCAAAGCACTTATAGCTCAGAATTTCCCTCTTAGTAATTCTTTTACTGTATCACATAGGTTTTAGTATGTTGTGTTTCTATTATCATTTGTTTCAAAAAAAATTTCCATTTCCTTTCTAATTTCTTTGTTGACCCACTGGTCTTTCAGAAACATATTGTTTAATTTCCATGTGTTCGTATAGTTTCCAAAATTCCTCTTGTTGTTGATTTCTAGTTTTATTTTATTGTGCTCAGAGGAGATGCTTGATAATATTTCAATTTTTTTGAAAACTTAAAACGTGTTTGGTTACCTAACATATGGCCTATTCTTGAAAATGATCCTTGTGCTTAGGAGAACAATATGTGTTCTGCAGCCATCGAATGAAGTGTCCTGTAGGTATACCAGTTGCTCTATAGTGCAGATGAAGTTTAATTTTTTGTTGTTAAGTTTCTGTCTGAGAGATCTGTCAAATGCTGAAAATAGGGTGTTGAAGTCACCAGCTATTTTCACATTGAAGTCTATCTCTGTATTTAGCTCCAATATGACTTGCTTTATACATCCAGGTGCTACAGTGTTGTGTACATATATATTTACAATCATTATACTCCATTGCTAGGTTGACCTCTTTATCATTATATAATGACCTTCTTTGTGATTCCTTACAGTTTTTGTCTTGAAATCTATTTTGTCTGACATAAGTGTAGTTACTCCTCTTCTTTTTGGTTTCCACCGGTATGAAATATATTTTTTCATCTTTTTATTTTCAGTCTATGCGAAGTACATTTCTTGGCAATAGATCATTGAGTCTTATATCTTCATACATTCAAGCACTTTATGTCTTTATGGTAAGGAATGTAGTCCAGTCATACTCAGTGTTATTCTTGATAAGTAAAGAATTACTCCTGCCATTTTTTAAATTTGTCTACCAATACTTTGAATGCTTGTTTTATGGTCTTATCTTCCTTTTTTCCTTTCTTCTTGTACTGCTTTTAGCAAAGTTGACCTTCTCTTGTAGTATGATTTAATTTTTTGCTTTTTATTTTTTGTGTACCCATTGTATGGATGCCATGAGGCCTGCAAATACTATCTTATAACTCATTATTTTAAACGGATAACAGCTTAATACTAATTGCATAAACAAACAACCATGGAAAAAGAAAACTAATGAAAAGTGTATACTTTAGTTGCATCACCCCAATTTTTAACTTTTTGTTGTTTCTCTTGATGTCTTAGTGTACTGTCTACATCTTGAAAAGTAGTTGTAGTTATTATTTTTTACTGGTTTAGTCTTTCTAGTTAAGAGATGTTTACACATCACTTATTAATTCGGAAAACATTATTTTACTCCAATTTTTTTATTATACTTTAAGTTCTAGGGTACATGTGCATAACGTGCAGGTTTGTTACATATGTATACTTGTGCCATGTTGGTGTGCTGCACCCATCAGCTCGTCAGCACCCATCAACTCGTAATTTACATCAGGTATAACTCCCAATGTAATCCCTCCCCCCTCCCCACTCCCCGTGATAGGCCCCGGTGTATGATGTTCCCCTTCCCGATTCCTCAAGGATCTAGAACTAGAAGTACCATATGACCCAGCCATCTCATTACCGGGTATATACCCAAAGGATTATAAATCATGCTGCTATAAAGACACATGCACACGTATGTTTATTGCGGCACTATTCACAATAGCAAAGACTTGGAATCAACCCAAATGTCCATCAGTGACAGACTGGATTAAGAAAATGTGGCACATATATACTATGGAATACTGTGCAGCCATAAAAAAGGATGAGTTTGTGTCCTTTGTAGGGACATGGATGCAGCTGGAAACCATCATTCTCAGCAAACTATCACAAGAACAGAAAACCAAACACCGTATGTTCTCACTCATAGGTGGGAACGTAACAATTTTACTCCAATTTTTGACACATATTTCATCCACTGACATTGCAGGTCCCTGGAATTAATTCTGGAGCAATATTTAAACTTGGTTCTATATCATCATCATTGTTATTCTTGTCATATATGAGATTTTCTTGATAAATCTGAAAACAGTGGGGAACTACTTTATTCTGAAATTTAAATATGAAATCAGCAATAAATATGATAGTGCAAAGGTAAGAAATGTGATATTAATAAATAAGTCTGAAACCTAAGAGACTTGGCAAACTGAAGGAACATAAGTACACATTTGAGGAAAGTCTATGTCTAGACAGACATTGAAATAAGAAAAAAGAGTCACAGAGGCAGGGTGACAGTACCCATTCCTCTTCACCTTGTGGGAGACAGCCTTAGACAAATGATAACAAAGCATTTAGTGATAGTGAAAGTATGCAAAGGGTTGTGTAATCAATGGACTTTGAATACTTTCATCCATAAAGAGAAGTATTTCCTTTAAGCTGGAGTTATTAGCTTGATGACATTACAAGCTGATTTATCTAATTCCCCCTCATTTGACTCCATATCCACTTAGCATTCTTCTGATTATACTTTTGGCCAGGTTGCTGAAAGAAAATACCTTACTATATTAATGCAAATATTCTATTTCTTATAAAAGTTATATTTCTCAAAAATAAATTAACATTTTGGACTTATATAACGGTTTCTTAAGCACGTTAAAATCTCCACTGATAATGGGCATATCTTACATTACAGACTATAGTATATTCATTACTAACAAGCAATATCTCCAAAAACACAGTCTACCAACCTTCTTTTAGGTAGAGATGAACATACATTGGGCTAAGAAGATCAAATTTTCTATTTCTTTTGTGTTTTGTTTTTTATAGTTATTTAATTCTTACATTCTTAATTATCATTATCATCAGTAGAAAATACAAGGGATAAGGTTAACAAGAGTTAGTATTTGTTAGTACCTACTATTTTATTCCATTTGGACAGCTAGAACAAAATGCCATAAACTGAGTAGCTTATAAATGACTGAATTTTATTTCTCACAGTTGTAGAGGCTGGGAAGTCCAGGATCAAGGCGTTGGAAGATCTAGATCTGGTGAGGGCCCACTTTCTAATTTCTGTCTGGCATCTTATAACTCTGTCCTCACGTGGTAGTAGTAAAGAGCTACCTCTCTGGGGTCTCTTTTATAAAAGCACTTATTCCCCATCCTGTGTCCGAGTGTTCTCATTGTTCAATTCCCACCTACGAGTGAGAACATGCGGTGTTTGGCTTTCTGTCCTTGAGATAGTTTGCATCAGAACATCACACACCAGGGCCTGTGGTGGGGTGGGGGGAGGGAGGAGGGATAGCATTAGGAGAAAAACCTATTGTAAATGACGAGCTAACGGGTGCAGCACATCAACATGGCACATGTATACATATGTAACAAACCTGTACGTTGTGCACATGTACCCTAGAACTTAAAGTATAGTAAATAAATAAATAAATAAATAAATGCGCTTATTCTAGTTATGAAGGCTCTGCTCTCATAACCTAATCGCCTCCCAAAGGCCCCACCTCCAAATGCCATAACCTTGGGGGTTAGAATTTTAATATATGAATTTTAGGGGGAAAATAAAGATTCAGACAATAGCACCTAGCCTCTACTGGAAAGCTTGCTTCACACAAAAAGGTAAAGAAATGCTGTGCCAAGAAGCATAGGTTCTCATTTTTAGATACATTGATCTACACTCCAACTTGGGTACTTTCCAATTGTATGATTTCACAGGTTATTCTACAGCCTAGAGTCTTATTTTCTTCCATAAAACAGGAGAAATAAAGGTACTCATCTCATGGGTCTGGCTCTTAGAATGTGGTAGGATTGCACCCATCTCCTTTCAAGGTTTCTATAGCTACATAGCTTACTTTCACTAACGCCACATAAGCAGAGGTAATATGTGAGCCTCTATTTGAGAGAATGGGTTGAAAACCAGAACACCATCTGTTAGTTACCGTTTCTCTGCCATGGTAAAGTCATGTGTCAAAATGGATCTTCCATCATTCTAGTTCTCGAAAAAACTGCAATGATCAGAGCTCCCTTTTGACTACATTAGGCAGAAAGTTAATAGTAAACCTGGTGATATTTGCAGCCTATGTATTTTGATTGATATCCTACTG